CCCATCACCTCCGCTAAGGTCATGCGTGATAGCATTTCTGAGGGCGAGGATGAGGACAAGGTTAAGGAGGAGCCCAAGGAGGGTGCCGAGGAGGAGACTCCTGCCCCCGAAGCTGAGGTCAAGAAGGAGGACAGCGAGACTGATGCCGAGAGCCAGGAGGCTGCCGACAAGAAGGACGCCAAGAAGGGCGACAAGAAGCTCGGCAAGAGCAAGGGCTTCGGCTTTGTTTGCTTCAGCAACCCCGAGGATGCCACCAAGGCTGTTGCCGACATGAACCAGCGCATGATTGACAACAAGCCTCTCTACGTCGCCCTGGCACAGCGCAAGGACGTTCGCAAGAACCAGCTTGAGCAGAGCATCCAGGCCCGCAACCAGATGCGCATGCAGTCCGCTGCCGCTCAGGCCGGCATGCCCAACCAGTTCATGCAGCAGCCTGTCTACTTCCCTGGCCAGCAGCCCGGCTTCCTGCCCCAGGGCGGCCGTGGCATGCCCTTCCCCCCCAACATGGGCATGCCCAACATTCAGGGTGGTCGCCCCGGACAGTACCCTGCCGGTTTCCCCCAGCAGGGCGGCCGCGGCATCCCCCAGCAGCTTCCCCCCAACATGTACGGCGTCCCTGGCCAGTTCCCTCCCGGCGGCTTCCCCGCCCAGGCCAACAACCCCCAGTTCATGGCTGCCATGCAGCAGGTCCAGCAGGCCTCCATGGGTGGCGGCCGTGGCCAAGGTGGCCGCGGTCCCATGCAGGGCATGCCCGCTGGCCCCATGGGCCCCGGTGCCCCCGGCTACCCTCCCAACCGCCAGCAGCCCGGCCAGGCCGGCGGACGCGGCGGACGCAACGGTCAGCAGGGCAACTTCCCTCCCCAGGGCGGTCGCGGTGCCCCCGGCGCCGGCGAGAACACCCCTCCCCAGGGTCTCAGCGCTATCCAGCTGCAGTTGAACAACGCTACCGATGCCCGCCAGCAGAAGCAGATCATTGGCGAGCTTATCTTCCCCAAGATTGCCGCGCAGCAGCCTGAGCTCGCTGGCAAGATCACGGGTATGCTCCTCGAGATGGAGAACTCTGAGCTCATCACCCTGTAAGTCGCCTCGTCATTAGATTTCATTGTACGCACAAACTAATACCATGACAGCATCGAGGATGACAACGCCATGAAGCTCAAGGTTGACGAGGCCCTCGGCGTGTACGAGGAGTACGTCAAGAACCAGGGCACCGAGGAGGACGAGTCGAAGAAGGAAGAGACCAAGGCTTAGGCGTCGCGTGCAGCTTCCTCATCGGTCGCCAACGCGCCTGGTCTTTTTCCTATGTCTTCATACCCGGGGCTGCATAGGACGCAGCACCCTCTGGCGGCAACGACCTCGATGTTTTGAGTGAAACGGGAGCCGGAAAAAGTTTTATGGTTTTACGTGAAAGGGTTGGCCATCGTCGAAGCCCCCTCCCCCCCCCCCCGATTTCCAGGGCATGGTGGGCTTCTTTTTTTTTTTTTGTGCAGCTGGGTTCAGATCTGCCGGTCAACCATCAGAGCCCCTCTGCCTTCATATCACGATGTGCCATTTGCAGCATCTTGTGGAAAGGACAGGGTAAGGGGCCGGCAGCGGTCCTCGCGGACGATTGTCATGTTCGGCCGGAGGACAATTCTTCCCTCGGTGGTTGCTTTCTTCCTCCTCGGTCTGGTTTACGGACGGCGTTTTACGGTATGCTTTGAGAACAGTCGTCTGCCTCGTACGAGGAATGACATCAATACCCCAGAACGGTTCTCGGTTAGTCGGGTGGAAGGGGGAGGCTCACCTCAATGAGTGGTGAACCGTCCCGAATAGATTTATGTTTATGATGACACCATGACATGAATGAGATTATTGAGAAAGATTCGGGCACAATTGTTCATGTGACTGGACGGACACTGGCGTAATTGGGAGGGCTTTGACAAGGAACGTGTTCATCAAGGTTTGCTGTCATACATTGACCAATAATGGTCGATCTTCGATTCGTACATCGTCTCTATCTACTACAGCTTGGCCGCCGGCTTCAGGAGGGATAACCTGTCTTTGAGGGCAGCCTCGGCCTCCTTCTCTATTCTCGTGACGAGGACATCTACCGTGGGGATGTCGTGAATCAGGCCAATGACCTGTCCTGCCGTCCAGACCTGCGTTACATACATTTGTTAGCACTCTTTTTTCCGTCTCGCGTGTTTTTTTCCCCTCAGGGCATCAAGCCCAGAGGAACAGAGGGGGAAAGACTCACGCCGTAGTTGGGATCACCGTTGACAAAGGCCTCCTTGCCGCGCTTGCCGCTCATGAGGGGAGCAATCTCCTCAAATTTGCCCGTGGTGCTTTCGCGCTCGACCTTGAGGGCCTCGAGGGCGACGTCGTTGCGGAAGAGGCGGGTCGTGTTGCGCCAGCGGCGCAGCAGGAGCTCCGTGTCGGTCTCCTGGGCCTTGACAATCTGCTCCTTGATGGAGTGGTGGATGGGGGCCTCGACGGTGCACATGAAGCGCGTGCCCATGTTGATGCCGGAGGCGCCGAGGCACAGGGCGGCGGCGAGGCCCTGGCCGTCGGCGAAGCCGCCCGAGGCGATGAAGGGGACCTTGAGGGACTGGCGGGCGCGGGAGAGGAGGATGAGGTTCGTGATGTCGGACTCGCGACGTGCCCAGCGCACTCGAAGCCATCGATGGAGAGAAAAGTCGACGCCGAGCTTGACGGCCGACTGGGCGTGGCGGATCGAGGTGCACTTGTAGAGGACGGTGACGCCGGCGCGCTTGAGCTGCGTGATGACGGGGCCGGGGGAGTTGCCGGCCGTCTCGACGATAGTGACGCCCTCCTCGATGATGGCGCGGGCGTAGGCGGCGTAGTCGGGGGGCACGAGGGCCGGGAGAAGGGTCAGGTTGACGCCGAAGGGGTTCTTGGTCAGGGTGCGGCAGCGCTTGATCTCGGCGCGCAGAGCGTCGGGGGTCGGGAAAATGAGAGCCGTGATGATGCCTAGGGCACCGGCGTTGGAGACGGCAGATGCGAGGTCGGCGGTTCCCACGTGCTGCATGCCGCCCTGGACGATGGGGACTAGGGGTGCGAGCCAAGGTCAGTCTTTGGCGTGCCACACACAGCGACCAGGCAGTGGGAGAAGAGAGCTCGTGAGGGCGCGCGTACCTTTGATCCCCAGGCGCCGGGTCAGCTCAGTGTCGAAAGGCATGGCGGACAGCGATTCGATGTGCAGATAGTTTGGTAGCAGAAATGACGCACGCGCTGTTGGTAACGAGATTTCTGGTCGTGATGAAGGGCGGCCAAGCAGACGTGATGTCTTGTCGCGGCCATTTGTCGTGGAGTTGAAGCTCGGTTTGGCAGACGTGACGAGACATGCCGAGGTCCTCGGGTCGTTGCCCCACTGCGGGCACCTTCCCCCGTCCGGGGTACCGACTCACATGT